AATGTATGTATTATAATGTTTGAGTAAAGATTTCTAATTAAAAGAATTTCTACATGTTTTTTAATATATTGCAATTTGCAAAGAATTAGTGCCAACTAGAAATACATTTAATATTTGCTAACTAACGTAGACCCACACTAAAGATTATTTTATGTTTGTAATTTAATTTTAAGAAAAAAAAAATTAAATTAAAATGAGCAATTAAATACGAAAGAATTCGTTTTACAATATTTTTATGTTTTTGAAAATGAAAATTTTACACGACGAAAATTGAAATATAAAATGTTATGTAGGATTTAATAAGAGGAGGATTATAAACGAAAATATAAATAGTTTAGATATAATTTTTTCGTATAGGTACAATATTAAAAAAAACAATAAGGTCTGTACAATTTAAATGAATTGCTATTTAAATTGATATTATCATTTAATAATTTATTGAATACAGTAGGTACCTTTTGGTTGTCCCAAACAAAAACAGTAGAGTATAATCATAATTGATACAATCAACATTTTGAAAAATTATGCAAAATGTGAAAAGATTTTTGAGGTTAAGCATTTCTAGTTGTTTTTTTTGTTGAATTTTGATTTGTTTAGGTGTTTCTCGCAAGAGAATCAGCAAAAATGTGATATTATTTCTACGAATTCTTCAAAGAAATTACATTTAATAAAACTCAATTTCTTAATTGTATTTTAAATTGCTCATTTCATTTTTTTTATTATAATTTAGCTGTAAACAGTGTAAATTTGGGATTTTTTTAAATTTCATTATTGCCCTCAGTTCGATTTTGCTAATTACTGTATTAGATTATATAAATTAATAGTAATTCATTATTCATTAACAATTAAATTTATTTTTTTTAATACTCAACTTAGTTCTGATATCATTATAATAGTTTACTTTAACTTTCTTAAATTCTTATAATAATCTACATTTTATTTTATTTGAATACACGTGAGATTTTCTATATAAATTCTTGTTATTTGCTTATTCTGTTTTCAAACTATCCTGTTGAATGTTACATAAAAAAATAAATAAAAAAATAACCAAGAAATAAAAATAAATATTAAAAAAAAAAATCAAACCACATTAAAAAATTCAATTTTTCTTTTTGTTGTATGTACATATGTATCCTTTTGATTTTCACAAAAAAGGGAAAACAAAAATCATGTTAAGTATTAAGGAAGGATGTATAAATAAATAAATAAAAAACACGAAAAACAAGGAAAGAAATGAAATCAAATAAAGCTTTGTGGTTACAAAATTTTTTATATTCACCACACTTTGATGGTTATTTTGTATAAATATATTATATATGTATGTACGTATATGCATATATTAAGTATATTTTCTGATTTCCTCTCTTTTATCATAAACCGTAATATAATAACAAAAACAAAAAAAAAACCATATTTCTTTTTCCATATTATTGAAATTTTTCCGACAAAATAATATTATAGAAATAAATAAATAAACAAGGAAAAGAAAAATTAAAAAAAAAAAGAAAAGAAATTTTAACACAACAAAAAACGATATAAAAACGGGAAAATAAATCGCTTAAATTCTCAAAAAAAAAAAAGTTTTTCTCTTTTAATCTAACCACCAACCTGTTAAACCAATTAGATTAAAATGAGTGTTCATTATAAAAAAAAGCAGGTGATTTCGTGATTCTTTTATAAAATAATTTTGTTTTTTATTATTTTCGTTATTGTTATTATTATTATTTACGTTATCATATCGTAATTTTACTTACAATATTATTTTGACGTTTTTCTTCTTATCTATAAATATATGCGGCATTTTTATATTCACTTGTGTACATTTATAATATTATACATGCATATATACGTACATATATATATATATATATGTAAGCATTTATAAAAATATAGTTTTGTTTTTGTTTACAAATTATTTTCATTCTAATTATTATTATACAATTCTAATTTTTCCTTTAGACTATTAATTATATACATATATACTCGTATAGTCAAATTAATTGAGTTTATTTTTCATTCATAAATTTTACAAAAAAATTAAAGGCAGAAGAAAATAAAAAGTTTTAAGATTTTCAAATTAATTATTGACTGAGTAAATTTTAAATGATAAAACGAAACGTAAAATAGTTTATTAAATTATTAGCTTTACTCTTTTGAATTAAAAATTTTTACAAAGTAATATGAGCAATAATCATCAATGTCTACTGTGAATAGAATTTTGTTAATTAGGAGGGAATAGACAATTTTTTCATATTAAGAATATCTTCGTATAAAATAGACACTTGTCACATTTAGAGCATATTGCATTTTATTAGAGTATGTTGTATGAAAATGAGTAATTATGTAAAAGAAAATTAAATACTTTTTAACAAAAGTGTAAACAATAAAATTTACTTTAACAAAACAATTAGTTTTACTAGCAAGCATTTAGGTTTTTGTGTAATTTTTAGAGTATGAATTTAAGGCAATAAAATAGTAAATTATTTAAAAAAGCATCCGATTTTATTGATTTCCGAAAACAGTTTACTGATGCCAATTGATAGTTTTTGAAAATTCTATACATAATATACCTTTATTTTACATTTGAACGTTATAATGACTAAGAATAATGACTCATGCAACATTAATTAAAAAATAAATCATATTTTGAACAAGACTACTTATATCTTGCAACTGTATAAATAGTTACAAAATAAAAAATATGAAGATTAACTAGGATATTACTAATAATACATACGTTAAACGAATATTTATAAATTTTAAAATAGTAAATAAAAATAATATGATTTAGTAAAAATATTTTAAATTTCATATTATTTTACACATTTTCTAATAGTGTGTCGTGTAAATGATTATGCCTCTTGTTAAATAAAGCAAATTTTTTATTTATTATTATTACTTATCAAATAAAATCATAGCTTTATCTCTTAATTGAAGAGATTTAACTATATAAGCTATAAGATTTAACCCGTACTCTTATACTTAAATAATTCAAAAGTTTCTTGATTAATATTTCGATATTTTATGATTTTATTTAACATTTTTCTAATATTTACTAAAATAGTAGACCTTTGCTTGAATTTAAAAATATTTTAATGGTACTTAAGTCCATTATTACAAAATATTTTTAATTTTTATTTTTATATATTAAAATTTAAGTTTCTTTCAAATTTGTTCGTATTTAGGCCTTCACCTTTACTAATAAATGTTATATCGTAAAAATATAATTTTCTTGAATTTTATTCATTCTGTATAGTTATGCGTACAGAATATTTAAAACAAAATAAATAAAAAATTAAATTCTTTGAAATCATTAAAATTAAAAAATAATCACCAATCTGTTCAAGTATATTTTATTTTGCTTCACCTGCTTTCATATTTTAATAAGTGTATGCAATGAAATCCGCGTACCTTACCTAACTTATCTATATGTAAACAATTTATTGTACCATTATCACTTCTTAAATTGTATATGAGTATAAAAGTATAAATTTTTTGATTATTGTGAATGGTGATTGTTAATTTTTTTTGCTTTTATACTTCTAAATTTTATTTTGAACTTTTTATTATCTTTTTATCTTTTAAATAGATGACTCTACTAGTATATTATTTTTTGTGTTCGCTTGCCTTGTTGCTTGATTGTTGTAATCATCCTTTGATAAGAGTAAAATATGAAAAAAAAACAAAATAAAAAGCAGAAACAAGAAAAATTGTATTTCTGTGTAATTCTACATACTTATAGGAGGTTTGTTTTATTTTGCTATTTATAAGTGACGTCATTGACATTAAAATATAAAATTTTGTGTGTGCTTTCATTTTCTTTATTATAAGTATATGAACGTATATAAATATACGTTATGTATAATACTGTTATGTATAAGTGCATGTATATTTTGTTACTTGTTGCAAGGTCAAACATATTATTATTATGTAGGTAGGTACGATATGGTTGAATATTGAAAAAGTTGAAGTTGAATTGTTGTAAATTCGCAGTTCTCTCTTTTAGTTTCTGTTTTTGTTGTTTTTTTTTTAGATTTGGGTATGTTACCACCAAATTTGTGTTGTGTTTTTTTGTTTTTCATTTCTTTGTAAGCATTTAATATAACTTTTATTCAATGGAATATGATAATGTAAAAAAAAAGACAAAAATTGAAAACAACGTGCTTTATACGTTAAATATGTGAGGAAAAAGTAAATTTTTTTTCTTTCAGTAGGGGAATGGGAATTTCAAAAAGTCAAATTTATAAAAATAAACAGAAAAATAAGGAAATCAAAAAAAAAAAGAAAACATCCAACAAGTTGTTGTTGAAGTTGCGCTGTAATTTTTTGATTTTGTACATAGATGGCATGAAATGCATGATATTTTTCTTTTTTTATTATTACATTTTTGAAATAACTTATTTCTCTCTTTTTTTTGTTTTCTTTGAGCATTTCCCTTTTGATAACACAAAAAAAAAAGGTGATACCGTAAGGATAATGAATAAGTATAAAAATTTTTGTTGAAAGGGTTAAATTTTTGTGATTGATATATTAGATTGCTTACGTATAGTAAATTTTAGGTGCTATGAAATGGATCTGCATTATGACATTATATTTTGTATTGTTGTGCAGTAATAATCTTTTTTAAGTTTAAAACTCTTTGTTTGTAAGGTAAATGCCTTCATAATCCATGTACAGACATAAATAAATTTGGAATTTCAACAATTTTTCACTTTTTCAAATTATTTTAAGTGTATTGAATATGAATTTTAAATCAAGTATGTACCTACTTTAAAAATTAATTTTTGTATGTATTTTGAAATTATGAAGTATTGTAAAGCAATAACGACGTGCAGGATTGTTAATTAAAATTATTGTTAATTTCATAACTCATTTTTAAATTTTAATTTTGTTATTAGGTTGGTTTATGCTATTCAGCAAAATTGAATTTCAAATTTTTTAAATATTTTTTTCGATTTAACGTATTAATTAAAACAATTAATATTTTCTGTAAATTACAGGTCTTGAAAATGCTTGTTTACCAGAACTATCAACTTAAAGATACGGCTGAAGAAATTATGAGCAACAAACTGTAACAGATCCCATTACTCCAAGGAAATGCAAAGCGGTAGTGAATGTGTTTTTCTTCAGAATTCAGCTCAATATTGGACAAAGTAGATGCGATGTACCTGTACTTAAATTAGTTTCTAAATTCTATTTTAACTAAAGTGTCACAAGAAATGTCAATATTAATGGAATAATGGATCTATTTTATAAATATTCAATTAACCGATCCTTAATGAATTTAACAAGAATTATGATGAAATTCAAGAATCAGACGTAATCTCACCAAAAATATGAGGCAACATAACTGAATAACGTCCTTATGTATGGCAATTTTATTTAGCTCGAGTCAAAGAGGTCAATAAGGAGTAATCTATAGCACTTTTGTAAGCCAAGGTATTAGTAATTTTAATTTTGCCAACTATACAATGCTAATCATAGTCTCATATTAGATATACTAATATTACCATTAATTAAAATTCTCGACTTCAAAATTGTTATATCCTGATATTAATATACACAATTTAGCTTATTATATGTCGAAAATTTCTACGGTATATGTATATTGTATACGCAACTGTATATAAATGAACTTCACGAAACTCGGTTAAAATTAAATTTCTCTATTTTTCTTCTCTATACATTCTAAAATTTGTCTTGTAGAAAAATATTGAATATGCTCTTTGAATTTAAAAAAATGAATTTTTAAAATTTCATGAGAAACAAAATTATTTACTAAAATTATATTATAATCAATGTGTTACTCTCACAGATGAAATTGAAATTATTTTCAGCTTTCATTCTATTGTTAATTGAAATTCAAAAAAATAAAATAAAATGCGGGTATTATATGCATATGTATTTGTAACAAATATATGTATATACAATCTATATATTGTTTATCAATATTCCATTCAATAATATATTTTTATAAAATTATTTTGTAATTTTCTACATTACATAATATTCGTTACATCATAAGTTAACGATGCACATGTGTTTTCCGTTATTACTTTAAAGAAAATCAAAATATTGTATCATCGCTGTTTACAATGGCCAGTAAATATAATTAGTTACTGTAGGTACATACATATAAAATATATCAATAATAGAAATTTAATTAAGAATAATGAATGTTGAATTCCATTTCATACGAAATTTATGAGTATGATATTATTTAAGTTCAGCTATATGATCGATCATACAATATAAAAAGCTTTATTCTATAAGCGCAATTCAATAGAATGCAATTTCTTTTTAATTACTGTTATATATATACATAGAGACACTCATGTACACTATATTCTTCATTTATTTATAATTAATAGCTCTCTTATATAATATTTAGATTAACTTTTGGAATTAAATGTGCATTTCAAACAAATTACTATACGTACAATTTAATTCATACTATTTGTTACATGTTACATGTATGTCTAACTTGTATGTCTATAATTTTAAAAAATACTTGCATACTAAATTATTGTTGTGTAACTTGTTTCAATTAATTAACCAAAAAAAAACCTTCTGTTTTTTCTATTTTAAAACCACAAGATTTTTATATCGCTGAAAATAAATATAATTATTTGTATGCTTGTATGTATGTATGGGTTTTTATTCAGAAATAAATTTAATAATAAATTGTAAAAAGCTCTTTTTTTTTATTTTTTGCTTTTGCTTTTTAAATCTTTACTTTTTAAGTTGTCATGACACTTAACATTAAATTTCGTGTTATTTTTTTGTTTTGTAAATTATGATAATAATTTTCATTGAAATTTATTATGTATATAGAATCATTAATGTGTGTTGTGTTAGTCATTCTATGAACCAAAAAAAAACTTGCCATAAAACTGAATAAAATATAAAAATAGTGTTTTAGCTCGCTTTACTTCTTTACAATGACTAAACCTTTTATGATAAGTCATTAAAATTTTAAATAATAAGAAAAGTAAAATGAAAAATTAAAAAAAAAATTTATTCAGCTTATTGCAAATTTATTTTTAAAAATGTACATACATACAATATACAAACATATATATATGTACATATATATATAATAAATTGGAGAAAATAAACAAAATGAGTATTATATTAAATATGTACGTAAAATAAAAATAATAATAGTAATAGAGTCGTGGTCCCCGTGCATGTATTTAGAGAATAATATGAAAATGAATTTCATTTTTATAAAGAGATGATTATTTAAAATGAATTGTCAAAAATAAAAATAATAAAAATAAATTGTTAATAACTGAATCATGTTTTATCATAATGTATATAATATGTATTATAAAAGAAGGCTATATACTAGACAAGAAAATTATAAGATTATATATTGCGGCATATTAAAGCACATGTGCTTTACTCTTTATTTACGATAATAGTATAAATATATAATTTTGTTTATTTTTAATATATTTTGGCATTATTAACTCTTTGAAAGTGAAATTTTATTGTTGAGATGATTTGAAAGCTATATTATATTGTATATTATTGTTTACAAATTTAAATTTTCAAAACATGTGCCATACATACTACATACACATACTTCTAGACATGTTATATAATTCAATATAATGAATTTATTTGAGGATAATCTTTTATAATTTCATTCTTATAAAACATTCTACTACCTATATACTTCAAATTTATTTTATAATACTGGTATTACAAGTTTTATGTAATAAGAGTTAAGAAAATAATATTTTTATTTATCCGGTTTCCTTTTTAAAAAATTTTTTTTTTTTATAATAAATTCTCTTCATATAGGTGCTTATTATAGATTCGAATGAATATTTATGTAAAATTCGAGCGGATATATGTGACGTGTTTTTATTTTGTAAAAAAAATATTTTTCATATTTATGTAAATAATTATGAATAGCACAAGCTCTTTCTTGTGATCTGAAATAAACAAGAGTACATAAATTATTTTAGGGAAATAGAATTAAATTTTGAAATTACAAAAATATTTCTAGAATTAAATTTAATTTTATACAATTCTTTTATATTTACTTTTTTTCGTAGATTGAAAACGTCTTTCTTAACTTAAAACGAAGAGGGTCTGTGTGAAAGTCATAATAAGGTTTCCTAGAAATATATGATAGATATTACAATCAATCAAAATAGAAATTTTCTTAGTCTTACTATACGCATTTTCGATTTCAAAAATAGAGAGGATTATGATCGAATAGAAATATTAATTCATGTGGATTTAATTAGTTATGATTTTTTGCCGGCCTAATTGGGTTTCTTAAAATTTCAAGTTAATATTCAATTTAGTAGACAGTTTTATTAATTTAAAACCAATCAAATCGTATTAAGAATTTAAGAGTTCCAAAAAAATAGAACCCTATATCTTTTATCAATTAAGAATTTCCACAGACTCTTATATGTTCAACGTTCCCAAAATCAAATAATATTTGATAATTTTCAAAATCATTTTTAAGTTATAGTATTTGCGATTTCAAAATTTCCGTATTCAATATTTATAATTCATAAGCAGAATTGTGTATTCATCATTTATTAAACTCAACGAATATTTCAATAACAATACAAATATATCTTATGAGATTTAGATCAAACCCTTACTTAATTCTTTTAACACTCTTTTAAATGTTCAACATACAATCATCTTTTATACGTTTTTAATGTAAATATGATTACCTTTATTTTCAATATCACGTGTTCTTCCAACTTAATTTTCATATTCTCACTCAAAGAAACTTAACAGAATATGTATAAGGATTTTTTTAACGGAAATCTTATTAACTAAAGAATCTGTAAGACTCTGTAAATATGTACAAGTTTCCAAGGATATTTGAAGTTGTAACGAAGTGTTTTAAAAACAAAAATCAGCAATAATAAATTTTTCTTTTTGAATTTTTTTTTTTGCAAGCATATTGCTTTTAACTAAATTTTTTCCTGTTTCATCATGTGCTATCGAAATTTTTAATAACTTTTATTTACTATTTATTGTACCTAAAAAGGAAGAAAAAAGGAATCGAAATACAAAAAAAAAATTTAAATTCTCTTGTAAATCCCTGCTGTCTTAATTGCAAAAAGCAAAAATGTAGGAAATATTTTTGATATTTAAAGATATGTATGTATGTATGTCTGCACGCACATACCATTTATTTACCTATTATAATATACATGTATCCGCTTATTGTTAAGGACTACATAATATACAAAATTCGTGCGTAAATAACAACGGCAAAATGGTATTTGTTAGGAATAAAAAAATAAATAATTTTTACAAAACGAAAAAATTATTTTTCGAAATTTTATTTTTATAATTCATTTCTTAGAGACGACAGTGAGTGTGTCGTCATCGTTTCTTTTTTTCTTTGAAATTGCACCCTTATTATAAAAATAACCATTTTTTTTTTAAAATATCCTTAATAAGGATATAGGATTGACACGTACATTATATCAAAATGGAAAAATGAGAAATAAAACAGGATTTTTTTTCTTTTTTCGTATCCGTCATTTATTTATTGCAGATGTATTCACAAAGGTATAAAGAATTTCTTTCATTTCATTTCATGTTATTCATTAAAGATTAAATTTAGAAATCTATCATGCATATGCTATATTATATTGCTTCATATAAAAAAGGACTAAAAGCAAAATGAGTGTATATAATTTTAAAAATAAATTTTATACATAAATATTTTTAAAAGGAATTTTTGTTTAGAACTCCGTCAAAAGTCTATATTTTTAGAAGAGTATTATATTCCATATACAAACAATGTACATACATACATAATGTATTTGTGTATTTTAATGAAAAAAAAGAAATAGAAAAATACGATATCGTTCGAATACGTTTTTAAAAATAATCCCTGCCTACACATAATTTTTTTTAGAGCGTAGACTAGGTTGTAAAACTGGGGATTTTTTTTATGGTATTATAAATGAATTACAATTCAAAAAGGGATTTGTCTATACATATAAATGTAAATAAAATGTGATATATTCTTTATAACAATATTGAATATTGCATTTAGAAAAGTCGTATTTTCTATATTATATTTATAAAATTGATTGGATGGATTTTATGAACCTGATTATATCGTATTTTTTAAAGAAGAATACAAATAAATTTTAAGAATCGTCACTATACTACGTCATTGATATTAGTGTGCACTTGGTGTATATATTTTTTTCATGCAAAAAATTATATTCTTTATACTATGTGATATGCAATTTTAATATATACAATTATATATCATCTCTAATAGAACTTCACTATATTGAATTCGTGTGAGAATAATGTTAAAAATGTCATTTAAAATTTTTAATTTTTTCTGAAAAGGGAAATTTTATTTCAAATGAAAATTTATATTAAGGGTATATTTAAAATTTTAATGTGAGATATACACCATATGCATT